GTAGAGATTGAGAGAGAATCTTCAAACTTGTATATTGATCTTCAAAGTGTACTTACAAAAATGATTAGAAACTGAAAGTGTTGTTACAAGATTACAAAGACTAAGAACTATTTATAGTAGGAAATTATAATACAAAATTACAATGAAGAAACTAAGATTGAATACAAATACTAAGCACATAAACTCAAACCCAACACATATTCTTTGCCTTTTGTATTCCACTTTGTTTTTCATGCCTTTGATTTTATAAATGCTGGATAGTTGTGGAGTTACACCATGGTGTTTGTCTGTTGAAACCTGAAAGGTTCTTATTCATATGAGTTGAATTCATGTGGTGTATTTTTCCTTTCTTTTTCTAATGGCTTTTATTTTTTTTTACTGATTTTAATATCTGTGGGTTTACTTTGTCTTGCATATGCATCATACATTTCATGCTTGTCTATCTATGATAAATTGATAATAGAGGTTGGTACAAGTAGTAACTTTGGGGATAAATTTCCACTGCAATGTATTACCTTGACTGTAGATGATTATTTGAGAAATAACGTGCTTGGAATAACTAACCATTAGCTTTATCATCTTGTATTACCTTTTGCTTAGCTATATCAGGTATTGGTATGTGAGAAAACATGTGGTACTGGATAAACTCTCAGATCTTTACAATTCAGAAATGACTTTTGATTGCATAATCCAACTGTGGGTATGTTCCTGCCTTATGTCTGACAAACTTGTTGAGCTTCATAGGGATGGTGAGACAACATCACACATCTGCTGTAGATTATGTAATCAGAGTTGCTCATTGAACTTCATATGTTTTGCACAACACGTTGTTAGCAACAGAAGTAGAAGGAAATATCATCATATCCATCCACTTCATCTTCATTCTTTTTGTAGAACAGTTGTCCTCCTTTCTTTCTGTTTGGTGTTTATTCTGCTCATACCACACATACACCCTCCATACGTGCATGATGACCTATGACTTGATAAACTGCTGTTTTGGTGCCTTGTCATACACAATGGCACAGCTGAAAAGACGTGTGCTGTTGTGGATTTTGGAGATGGACTTTGTTCATTTTGAACTCACACTTGTGAATATAATGGAGATGAAGATAAGAAAGTGGGAACAGAGGAGGAGGAACAGAGAACAGGTAAAAGGAAGAGGAAACAAAAACAAGGGGGAGAGAGCTACATACTTGGTTTGATGTTTCGGCATGACCTCATCCTGAATTTTTCTTTCCCAAATTCTGAAATTATTTTTATCTCTTGGGTTATACAGTAGTTATATAGCTAAGATTACTAAATTGACATAAATCTTTCTAGGTTTTATTAACATTAAAATTTTGTGCTCCCCTTTTTCTTCCCAAGAGTATAGTTCTTTAATGAACCCCTTTTGGACTTTATATACCATCATTAATATCCCTTTCATATCAATAAGTGACTATAGGGGTTGTTCGGTTGTTTTTCTATTAAGCTCTGTATGGGTTAAGATATCTGTAGGGATTTAGTTGTCTATATGGATTGGGCTAAATAGTTGTTCGGTTGTTGTGCTGAATAAATCGTCTGAATAATATAAATTACAATTTCACCCTTATTTCTTTTTTCTTCAATTGTTTTGGATGAAACATAACCCTTAATGGGTTCATTCGATTCATGGATATCATCGCCGGAAAACACATCATCAAACTGCAACTTATCATCTCCTTCATAACTACAAAAGACTCGAACTTTAGGGGCCACAGCAACCTTCTGCACAGTCTCATCAGCCGGAATCCCATTGGAACTTAAACTCCGGTGACTTTCAACGGAATCATTGTCACTATCACAATCGACGTTCAAAGGAGCAACAAGTATACCCAGTTTTACAGGCGAGAAGATACCAAAATCGTTGACACCTGGTCCATTAAATCCCTCAACAGCACTACTACTTTCTTCAAGTGGGATTTTCACAAAAGGCCTAAAAATGGCAGATATATCAAAATCTCTGTTCTTTTCACATTATTTTCATTTGGTTATTTCACAAAAGGCCTAGTACATGAATGTTCTTCAATTTCTATCACCATTTCTTCATCTGGGTATGCTACAAAACTATCATCTTCTTCAAGGAGGCATGCCTGAGGAAGGAGAACCCTATTCTTTTTCACATAATTTTCATTTGGGTATTTCACAAAAGACCTAGTACATGAATGTTCTTCAACACGGTAGCTTTCTATCACCATTTCTTTATCTGGGTATGCTACAAAACCATCATCTTCAAGGAGGCATGCCTGAGGAAGGAGAAGGAAGGCAGCGACGATTTCACTTTGAGAGGGTTTTCTATATTGTTTCCAGGGAGCGTGAATCATAAGGGCAAGAAAGGAAAAATGAGGGCTGAATGCAAACCACACCCTTTTACCATCTGACCGAATAAGCCGTCATCTGTTTCATTAAGCCACAACCGAAAAACCTTGTATGGCTTACCGAATAAGCCATACATCCTATACAGCTTATTAAGCTGCTACCCAACAGCCCCTAAGTGTAGAATATCCTTGGTGACTGGTTTTTCTATTGCCTTTGAATTTGAAAGTATACATTTATAATAATTGTAAAAAATGAGATATATTGTACTCAACACACAAACTGATTCTTACCGTCATTTTATAACCTTTGACATTGCTCTTGCATGATGCGCTCTTATAATTTATGTGTTACATAGACTATTTTTTTTGCTGTTTCATCTTTCTTAAATTCTTTTCATTGCTATAACTTGAGC